TGTTTAAAAGAAGAAAGTGAAAGACTTAGAAAATTTTAGTGTTTGCAGTGATAATCCTTAATAGTGTCTTATAAAGTAAGCATTAAAATAAAGTTTGTCTTATCTTGAAATATGATGTATTGAAATACATTTGCTAAATAAATTTCACTTTCGTGTCTTTCTTTCAAAACTAGTCATCATCTCCATGAATTTCCACTAATACTCATTTTTGGAATTGCCACATCTCCTATTATCATCCACCGATTGCTTCCTCATGCAGTATCATCTCTATTGTGCATAGAACTGTTCCAATCTTTGTCTTGTAAGGAGCACCTGACTACAGTACTTGATAAGGTAAAAAGAATAAGTTTTACCAGTGAAATAGGATGAAAAGAAAACTGCCAATAATAGCTTGTTAAGATAACTCTTAATGATAAGCCCCTACAACTCTGAGTACTATATTGAACACATTCTTTCACATACTTTAATATTTTTACTTAATAATTTTTGTAGTGTTTTATAGTTTTACAGTGATTTTGTATATTACCTCTTTTGTACTTATCTCTTTTTATCTTTACTCAGTAAAAAATTATAGGTTTATAATGTAAATTTTTACAGAATTTGTAGACTTCCTAGTAACAATATATTTTGACTCTTACATTTTAGTTTTTCTAATTTTTATTTTTTTGAGAAGGCACCTAGCTCTGTCACCCAGGCTGGAGTGTGGTGGTGTGAGCTTGGCTCACTGCAACCTCCGCCTCCCAGGTTCAAGTGATTCTCCTGCCTCAGCATCCTGAGTAGCTGGGACTACATGTGGTGCGCCACCACGCCTGGCTAATTTGTATTTTTAGTAGACACAGGGTACCATATTGGCCGGGCTAGTCTGGAACTCCTGACCTCAAGTGATCTACCCACCTTGGCCTCCCAAAGTGCTGGGATTACAGGCATGAGCCACCACACCCAGCCTGACTCTTACATTTTGTATAAAATGATTTGAAATTTTTAATGGACTGTTTCCTAACTGATTTGTCATGCTGCTCATGACAACAAATAAATACTAACATTTTCCTAGACCTTAGCAACTAAAGTTAGTTAACTGTGTTTCTACATAAATGCAAGTGTGATTCTTTAATATTGACTGTATTAGTCTGTTCTCACGCTGCTGATAAAGATACACCTGAGACTGGGCAATTTACAAAAGAAAGAGGTTTAATGGACTGATAGTTCCACTTGGCTGGGGAGACCTCACAATCATGGTGGAAGGCAAGGAGGAGCAAGTCACATCGTACATGGATGGCAGCAGGCAAAGAGAGAGAGTTTGTGCAGGGGAACTCCTCTTTATAAAACCATCAGATTTTGTAAGACTTATTCACTGTCATGAGAATGGCATGGAAAGGACTTTTCCCCATGATTCAGTTACCTCCCACCAGGTCCCTCCCACAGCACTTGGGAATTCAAGATGAGATTTGGTTGTGGACACAGCCAAACCGTATCATTGACCTTCCCCAAATTTCTTCTGGACTCACCTCCTTTAAGATGTGCTTTATGCTGCTTATTTAAGGTAAACTAATAAGAGCCTGCCCACTAGCCACTTATACATGGATTTTGTTTTTTTGTTTTTTTCCATAAAGGTGATCTATAGACACTTTAAGGAGAATTTTTTTCAAACTACAATTTTTAAATTTGCTTGGCTAGGCTGGAAAGGGTGGCAAGCACCTATAATCCCTGCTACTTGGTAGACTGAGGTGCGAGGATCACTTGAGCCTAGAAGTTCAAGGTTACAGTGAGCTATGATGCCACCACTGCACTCCAGCCTGGGCAAAAGAGCAAGACCTTTCCTCTACAAAAAAAAAAAAAAAAAAAACTTGGTTATAGTCAAATTCAATTGGCCTTTTACAACTATGCTTCTGTTTAAGAAGCCTTCTGTGGCTTTTCATTTTCAGATGTAAAACATCACTATAGACTATTGAAAATTAGCCGAATAATACAAATTCAGCTATTCTATACTTTTGTAATAGACATTTGTGTTAATTTTGTGTTTCTCATTCAACAATACATAATACGTTACTCCTTAATTTGAATCGGTAGGATTGAAAAAAATCTCATCTGGTAATAAGAATTGCCAAAGCCTGCAGCTTCTTCAGTAGTTTCTGGTGGGGAAAAAAAAAAGGATCATATAGTTAATAGGTGGCATTTTTTAAATTAGGAATTTGATGGAAGATGGTATAGATCTTTGATTCTGAAGATATAGTATAAGTAGCTTCTTTTTGTTACTGTTGTATAAATTAACTTAAAATTTTTGTTGACATTTGAGCTTAAAAAAACCAGCTACTATCACATCTTTCGTAGTTAACTGTGTCATAGTATCATTCTTTGCCTCATTATTAATACTTAATATTTATGAAGAGTGAAGACTAACAAGGAGTGTGTCTCCCTCCCTTTTAATCTCTTTCAGCTACTTCTTACAACTCAGTTTCCCTTTAAAATAAATGAAAAAGTATTACAGGTTCTCACCAACATCTTTTTGTATCATGATTTCTCAATTCAAAACTTTATAAAAGGACTTCAGGTAAGAACACAGTAATGGGTTTGAAAATTCTCAAACTGATTCTAAATAATTTGCACAGTATTACAGGCTGTCTAGTGTGATAGACATTTTAAATGGCAAAGTCTAAAGTAAGTAAATTCCAGTTATTTTATTCTAGGTTCTACCATTCCTTTGTTACCTTGAAGCAAAATGTAGAGAATACATTCATTAGGATATCAATAATGGGAAAAGACTTCTATTCCAGCAATTCTTAACCATTTTGGGGGTAGGGACAAGGGGATTTTTCTAGTTTGTTTCTGAGACTCTCATGAAAGCTTATGGACTTTTTCTACCAAGGAAATGCTATATATAAGGGGTCAGCAAACTTCTGTAAAGGGCCAGATATTAAACATTTTTAGCTTTTTTTTTTTTTTTTCCCCTGAGATGGAGTCTCACTTAGTTGCCCAGGCGGGAATCTAGTGGCATGATCTTAGCTCACTGCAACCTTTGCCTCCCAGGTTCAAGCACTTCTGCCTCAGCTTCCCATGTAGCTGGGATTACAAGTGCGTGCCACCACGCCTGGCTAATTTTTGTATTTTTAATAAAAATGGGGCTTCACCATGTTGGCCAGACTGGTCTCGAACTCCTGACCTCAAGTGATCCACCCACTTCGGCTCCCAGAGTGCTGGGATTACAGGCACGAGCCACCACACCCAGCCCATTTTTAGCTTTGCATGCTACATGTAGTCACTGCTATTGCTGCTTTTGTTTCTTCTTCTTTAATAATCCTTTAAAGATATAAAAAACATTTTTAGTTCCTGGACCATGCGTGTGTGTGTGTGTGTGTGTCTCTGTAATTTGTATTCTGATACACTGGGAATGCATTTTCACTAGTTTCATGAATTGCCCGAAGCTGATTCAGGAATTTAGCTTCATGATATATGCTGTAACCTAAACAGATCCCCATTCTCCAGTTGTTTAAAAGTTAGTATTATTTCCTTTTCTTGGCAGCTACATAAGTGTAGTCATTGTGAACACATGCCAGTTGTCTAGTGCATTAAAACCTATATATTATGCCAGGCACAGTGGCTCATGCCTGTAATCCCAGCATTTTAAGAAGTCAAGGTGGGAGGATCACTTGAGCTTAGGAGTTTGAGACCAGCCTGAACAACATAATGCAGCCTCATCTCTACTAAAAATTTAAAAATAAGCCAGGAGTGGTGGCTTATTTACAGAGTCCCAGGTCCTTGGGAGGGTGAAGTGGGAGAATCACATGAGCTTGGGAAGTCAAGGCTGCAGTGAGCCGTAATTGTGCCACTGCACTCTAGCCTGGGCGACAGAGCAAGAGACCTGTCTCTATAAAAAAAAAATTCTGATTTTAAAAACCTATATATATTAGTAACCTTTGGTGCAAAAGTTCAATTTGATAATACTTCATCTTTGTGTAGTGCCTTGAAGATGATAAATTATCATGTTTTCTTGCTTCAGAAAAAGATTGCAGTGTTTTCTTTGGCTAATATGTATCTTTTCCTCCCAACTTTGACTTTTTAAAGCGTATTTTAAAGGAATAAAGCATTATTTACCTTAGCAATGTGTAGAATTAAATGATATTAAGATAAAACTTCCTAATTATTTCTTTCATTTCATTTCATTCATTTACTCATAAATATTGTCAACCAGGTACTATGCTGAACCCTGAAGATACAGATCAAAAAAGAAATCTCTGCCTTAAAATTGTTCTTTGTTTAATCATGGAGGCAAAAGAGTAAACCCACAAGTCTGAGTAGTCAATGCTATGAAAGAAACATCCCTTGGGGTTCCATAGGAGAACAGAAGTGTATTCCTAAGAAATAGGAGCTAGCCAGGTCAGAATTTCAGGCAAAAGCAACAGTAGAGGAAGAGAGATCTGTTAGAATGCTATTGCAGTAATCTAGACAGGACATGACAAGGACTTAAATAAACTAAGGTAATGGTAGTGGAACTAGAAAGGAGGAAACAAATTTGAGGATGAGATCGAATCAAAAAACCTGGTGACTAAGTAGGTGATAGGATGTTTTTTTGTTTTGTTTTTTCTTATTTGACTTGAAGCTGAAAGGATGTTTAAGAGAGGAACAAGATGACACATACTCTAGCTTGGCAGATTGGAGGTTAGTACCGTTTATTAACTGTACATGTTAATACATAGCAAAGAGCAAGGTTGTTGTGAGAAAAGGATGAGTTTCTTTTTGTATATGGTTAATTTAGGGGTGTGTTAGATATAAAGATTTTGTACTCTAGGAGAAAGGTTTGGACTGGAAATAGATATTTAGGACTTATCCTTAAAAGGTGGCAGTTAAAGTCATGTTATGAGGATGAAATGTCACCTAGAGGGAGTAAGGAAAGACAAACCGACCTGTAAAAGTGAGCAGTAGAAAAGGAGACTAAAAACAAGGAGAACCAATAGAAACTAGAGTACCACTGAAGCCAAGGGAAAAAGAGATTCAGGAAATAGAAACTGTACTCTAAATACCTTGAGACAGAAAATAAAGGACTTTAACCAAGTTATTAATCTCTCTGGGTCTCAGTTTTCTCATTTGTAAAATAAGGCAATCAGATTAGATGATTTTATGGTTTCCTGATAATTTATTAAGCACCTCCTTTATGCGTGACACTTTACTAAACTATTTACATGTTTTTTTTGTTTTTGTTTCTTTCTGAGGTGGAGTTTCGCTCTGTCACCCAGGCTGGAGTGCAGTGGCATAATCTGAGCTCACTGCAACCTCTGCCTCCTGATTTCAAGTGATTTTCCTGCCTCAGCCTCCTAAGTAGCTGAGATTACTTACAGGTGTGCATCACCATGCCCGGCTAATTTTATATTTTTGGTAGAGATGGAGTTTCACCATGTTGGCCAGGCTGGTCTTGAACTCCTGATCTCTGGTGATCCACCCACCTTGGCCTCCCAAAGTGCTGATATTTTAGGCGTGAGCCACCTTGCCTGGCCTACGTGGTTTTATTCACGTGTATTATCCTCAATTTTGCACATGAAGAAATTAAGATTTAAGTTAAGTAGCTTGGCCAAGGTCACACCACTGACAAGTGACAGCATCTTTAGACCTCATTTTCCCAGTTTTCCTAGTCCTCAGTGGAAAATATTGGTAAGTCCTGATTTCTACTTGAGACAGAGTCTCACTGTCTTGCCCAGGCTGGTCTCAAACTCCTGAGCTCAAGCAATCTTCCCATCTTAGTTTCCTGAGTAACTAGGACTATGTAATTCCTGATTTCCGTAGGACGTACAGCAGGACATACTGTCATTCTGTGTGTTTTAGCTTTCCCTTCATTAGGTGGATATATTAACCAACTTGTTGATTGACCCAGATATTGAAAACACACTTGAACAAAATAGTTAAGTGATAATGGGTTCGTATCCTGTTTGTATCTCTACTGTAACTTCTGTGGCTTCCTCCTATTCCTCTTCCGCAGCAAGCCTCTTAGCCTGTTTAGTTTTTATTTTTCTCATGTCTAAGAAGTAGTGTTAACATTGGGATAAACATTATCAGTTTGACTTAATTAGAAAAGATAAGAACAAAATTATGTTAATATGTGCAAAAGTAATTTAGCACCTGGCATAAACAGTTGCTTTCTATTTTGTACTTGTTTCTAAGTTAGGCAGGCCCTTTGCCTTACAGCCTTAGAGAATGGACTATTTTGGAAGATTTCCTCTAGCCTTGGGTATCTTGTCCTCAGTATTATAAACTCAGAAATTCATTATCAGTTCCCTCAGGAAGGATCAAGCCCAAGATTATTGATTCATTCCAAACAAATACCTTAAGATGGATATGTAACCTAACATGCTAATTTATTAATTTGTGATGAGGAGCAACCAGTATCAAGGTACCCGAAAATACCAAACTGGTCAAGCAAAGTTTGCTTAGAATCAATATAATGAACATTTGCATAGTCTTGTGAGTTATACCAGTTTCTAGGTGTAAAACTCAAGACTATCCAAATGTATACAAGAGTATCCAAATGTTCATTATGTTGATTCTAAGCATACTGAACGTTAGAATCTGGAAAATTGTCTTCCCTTCTACCATAGAGCCCACAGCATTCTATTATTAGAATACTTATATCTACCAGATAGTACACCATGTTTTCCTCCATGGGAAAAAAATGAATTTGAAAAGGTAAATTTTCATTATTCACTTTAATCCATAGGCACAACTCCTACCATTGTAGCATTTTTTTTTTTTTTTTTTGTAACAGACCAGTTTTTAAACTGATTTTAGATTGGCATTTTCTTATGAGTATCGGGGTATCTATTAGACCCTTAAGTTAAACATCAGTTTGGTCCACACCACATTTATAATTATTATGTGTTGCTTTTGCAGATAGTTAATCTATCCATTTATATTAGTTTACCTTAGTTTGTATTTCAAAGATTACCATTTTCTGATCTTCTTCCCAAAATTGGAACCTTAAAATATGAGAGTTATATAGCCATTTTTGTGTTGTTTGCAGTATTATTGTGACATTATTAAATATATTAGTGCCATAAATACTTTGGCTCTTTAAAAAAAAAAAATCCTTAAAATTGAGCAGATATAGCACAATAGATTTAGTGCCAAAATATAATAAATGTTTAATCTTCACATGTCTTTCAGCTTTCTCTATTAGAGCATTTCTATTCCCAGCCCCTAAGTGTCCTGTGCTGTAATCTTCCAGAAGCCAAAAGAAGAATAAATTTTTTATCAAATAATCAATGTGAAAACATCCGACGTCTTCCATCTTTTAGGAGGTAAAAAGAGAAGTACATATTTAACACATATTATACTAGAATTTGGGACTAAATAAGAGATCTCAGATCCAGTTTTTTCT